CAACAAACACAAGAGTTCTCCACTAGCGTCACGTGGCAGACAACAATAAAGAAAACAGCACCAACACCTTAAAATTGGCAATAGCAGTCAATAAGAGTCAACAATCGGCGAGCTACTGACCACTTGTACCAAATTATTAGTTCACCAGAACCCACAGATGTCCCAAAATAGATAATGAATGAAAGGCAGATATGAGGGTTCTCACTTTCAGACAGCAACCAAATGGTCCCCCAACCAAAACCAACAAGTATGCCAACCCGACAGGAGGCAAAAGTTCAGCAATTAAAATTTCCAATCGAAGTCACCAAATCAATAAGAGAGGCAAATAGGGGTACCACTTTTACTCTTGGTCCACGCTGGAGAGGAAAATGGCGGAGAAAGAGAGCTGGTGGCTGGTCGGGTGCGCGGGCTGAGGCGTGGAGCAGGCGCGGTGGTAGTACGCAGGCAGGGGGTCACGCGCGAGGGAGGATGCGCACCGCTGAGGCTACGCGCTGAGGAGAGTAGGGTTCGCGCACAGGCAGCTGCGCAGGATGGACTGATGCTAGGCGTGCGTGCAGACGCTGGGCGCAGCGGTGTCGGTCGCTTGGCTGTCGCGCGGGCGGGTGTGCGGGAGGAGGTCCGCGCGCTGCTGGTCAGCTGCTGGGATTGCGCGCGCCTGCTGCTGGGACTGCGCGCGATGGAGGTGCTAGAGCGCAGAAGAGCGGGTCGCGCGATGGTCTCGCGCGGGCTGTCGCGCGCCTTGTTGGGCCTGGGTAAGCTGGGGCTGCGCGAGGCCGCGTGCCTAGCTGACGCGGTGACCTGGGGAGCTGTGCACAGGCGAGGTCTGGAGGGAGGGCCGTGCGCCTGGCAGAGGGGGTCGTGCGCGCTGCTTGGCCGTGGGTGACCAGATCTGGTGGGTCACGCGAGGAGGAGGGAGCTGCGGCGGCACGCGGGGGCAATGGCGGTGTGAGATGGGCGGCGTGCTATGGGCAGTGGCGGCGGACAGACCAACAAGAAAAAAAGGAAGAAGAAAATGAATCGCAGACAAAAGAAATTTGGTAGGAGACTGGACTAGACCAGTCAGGGAAGGAAATAGAAAAGTAGGGTCTTGGTCAAAGGTTTTTTTTTTTTTTTTTTTACTTTTCGTTATCAGAAGGGTTGGAAGGCGTGGGCACGCCTTGGAGGACATGGTCTTCTGACCACGGCATCTAAATGATGTCCAAACGAATTTTCGTCAAGGCGTGGCACGCCTTGGGACTGCTAGTCTCCAATTTGCTCAGGGCACCTGGCGCACCCTTTTCAAGGCATGGACACGCCTAGAAACCCCTATTCTTCTGTCCATCACCACAAAAACAATCAAAACATCAAAATAAAACTGAAAAATTGCAGAGTAATGAAGAATGATCACAACTAATACTGTAATCCTTGGATTGCCTCCCAAGCAGCGCCTTTCTTTAACGTCTTTGGCTAGACATGGATTTCAATTGTTTAGACCCCACCACTTGGATCATCAAGAAATATAACCTTCACTTGCTCACTATTAAACCCTTCATAATAAGGCTTTAGACGGTGACCATTGACTACGAACCTTTTCTCTGTCTTAAGACTTTGGATTTCCACTGCACCATAATAAAAAATATTAAAAACGACAAATGGACCAATCCAACGGGAACGCAACTTACCAGGAAAAAGCTTAAGTCTCGAGTGATAAAGTAGGACTTTTTGCCCAACGATAAATGACTTTCTTGAGACGTGTTGGTCATGAAAAATTTTACTCTTCTCTTTATAAATCGCGGCGTTCTCATAGGCTTCATTCCTTAGCTCCTCCAACTCTTGTAATTGGAGCTTTCTATGTCCTCCGGCCTCTATAAGGTCCATGTTACACCGCTTGAGCGCCCAAAATGCTCTGTGTTCAAATTCCACCGGGAGGTGGCAAGGCTTCCCAAAAACTAACCTGTATGGGGACATCCCAATCGCGTGTTTTGTATGCAGTGCGGTACGCCCAGAGAGCATCTTCCAATTTCAGACTCCAGTCTTTCCTATCAGGTCGCACCATCTTCTCCAGAATTGACTTGACCTCCCTATTCGACACTTCGGCCTGACCATTCGTCTACGGATGGTAGGAGGTGGATATTTTTGTGGAGCACGCCATACTTCCGCAAACAATGCCGTGATCGTCTTATTGCCAGAAATGGATGCCCCTGTCACTCACTATGGCTCTTGGCATTCCAAAGCGGACAAAAATGTTAGACTTTATAAATTCTGCCAACCACTCTCGAATCGTTAGTCCAGGTGGCTTTTGCCTCCACCCATTTGGAAACATAGTCAACAGCCAGTATAATGTACAAGAAATCAAAAGACGAGAGGAAGGGACCATAAAATCTATACCCCAAACATCGAAAATTTCAACAAATAACATGGGAGTTTGACCCATTTGGTCTCTACGAGAGATATTCCCCACCCTTTGACATTTGTCACACGATTTACAAAACAAGTATGCATCCTTAAAACAGAGTAGGTCAATAAAAACCACTTTCTAACACTTTACGAGCTGTCCTCTTTGGACCAAAATGTCCTCCACATGCAAACGAATGACAGAAAGTTAAAATAGAATGAAACTCACCGGCACTTACACACCGTCTAAGTACTTGATCTGAACATTGCCTCCACAGGTACGGGTCATCCCAAAGATAATGTTTGGCATCATTCTTTAGCTTATCTCTTTTAGCTTTGGACCAACCTGCAGGTAATTGATTCGTTACCAAAAAATTGGCAATGTCAGCATACCAAGGTACCGACGAATCAATGGCTAGCAGTTGCTCCTCAGGAATGATTCTCTCAACGGTAGATCCTCTTGATTTGTGAGCAACCGGCTCAAATGATCAGCCACCAAGTTCTCGGCTCCACTCTTATCCCTGATATCTAAGTCGAACTCCTGCAGGAGCAGGATCCATCTAATGAGCCGCGGTTTGGCATCCTTCTTCGCCAACAGGTACCGCAAGGCTGTATGGTCAGAGAAAACAATTACTTTTGCACCCAATAAATATGGCCTAAATTTTTCTAGTGCAAAAACAATAGCTAGTAATTCTTTCTCCGTCGTGGAGTAATTAAGTTGGGCTTCACTTAATGCTCTCGACGTGTAGCAGATCGTGTGTGCCGCCTTTCCTATCCTTTGCTATCCTTTGCTCCCACGGCATAATCTCTCGCGTCACACATGATTTCAAACGGAAGGCTCCAATCTGGGGGTTGAATGACAGGCGGCGATGTCAACGACTCCTTTAGTTTATCAAAAGCCACATTGCATTCATTAGTGAACTCAAATATCACATCCTTTTGCAGCAACTTGAATAGGAGTGCTCCAATCTTTGAGAAATCCTTTATGAACCTCCTGTAAAATCCTGCATGGCCTAAAAAGGAACGTACTTCCCGTACACATATGGGGTAAGGCAGAGCAGAAATAAGATCTATTTTAGCTTTGTCTACCTCTATCCCCTTAGCCGACACAACGTGCCCTAAGACAATGCCATGTTCTACCATAAAGTGACACTTCTCCCAGTTAAGAACCAAATTCGTTTCTATGCACCTTTTCAGAATTAAAGCTAGATTATCAAGGCATTCCTCAAAACTATCACCATATACACTAAAATCATCAATGAACACCTGAATAATCTTTTCCACATACTCGGAGAAGATACTTACCATACATCTTTGGAAGGTTACAGGGGCATTGCAGAGATCGAAAGGCATCCGACGGTAGGCGAATGCACCAAATGGGCATGTGAATGTGGTCTTTTCCTGATCCTCTGGCTAGCGTGATCTGAAAGTAACCTGAAAAGTCATCCAAGAAACAATAGTAAACACGACCCCCTAATCGTTCTACCATCTGATCAATAAAAGGGAGGGGAAAATGGTCCTTTTTAGTCACAGAATTTAGCCTCCGGTAGTCGATGCACTGACGCCAGCCAGTAGCTTTTCTAACCGGGACCATATCACCCTTCTGGTTCTCCTCTACGGTCACTCCTGCATTTTTCGGGACCACTGGGACAGGACTCACCCACGGACTATCCGAGATAGCGAAAATGATCCCTACCTCTAGGAGTTTAATTATCTCCTTTTTCACAATTTTCATCATCAGGGGGTTCAGCCTCAGTTGCGCCTGTCTTACTTGCTTCGCATCTTTTTCGAGCCGAATTCGGTGCATGCATAAGGATGGACTTATTCTCTTGATATCTGTTATACTCCACCCAATTGCCTCCTTATGCTCCCTAAGGATTCGCACCAGTCTGTCCTCTTGACTTGGAGATAGATGTGCAGAGATGATCACCGGCAGTATCTCCTCGTCTCTTAGGAATGCGTACTTTAGATGCTTCGGGAGAGGTTTTAGTTCTAACTCCGGTGCCTGCACAACTGAAGGAAGAAATTTTGTCTGAGTCTCTGGCACAAAAAGAGAAGTAAGCTCATACCTTGGAGATACGGTGGGTAGTGAGTGTAAGGCTCCAACAGCATGGAGCAACTCTTCCCTTAGGTCCACATCAAGAGTTACACCCAGCTCCAGATGCTTGATTAGAGCCACTTCCAATGCGTCTTTGCCATCTAATTCGAAAGTTTCCTGTACAAAAGGCTCAATAACGCTCAAAGCAAAGACTGAGTTAGATTTCTCTGGATATTTCATCGCCTGAAAAATATTAAAATTTACAGTTTCATCATCAAATTCCATTGATAAAGTACCCTCATTCACATCTATCTTAGTCCTGGCAGTGCTAAGAAACGGTCTACCTAACAAGATAGGTGACAGGTTTAATGATTTCTCATCTCCCATGTCTAGGATATAAAAATCCGCAGGAAATACTAATTCATTTACCTGGACTAAAACATCCTCAACTAGCCCCTCTGGATAAGCATTTGTGCGATCAGCTAGTTGGATTATGATGGCTGTTTCTTTAAGTGGACCAAGATTTAGAGAAGCAAAAATGGTCTTTGGCACCACATTGATTGACGCCCTTAAATCTAACATTGCTTTTCTAATTGGTGTATTTCCTATTTTGTATGGGATCGTGAACATACCTGGATCTCCGCACTTGGGTGAGAACTTTCTTTGGAGCATGGCTGACATATTTTCTCCCCGCTACTCTTTCGTCCCCTCTCAATTTCCTCTTATGGGTGCATAAATCCTTGAGAAATTTCGCATACTTCGGCACTCGCTTAATTGCTTCCAACAAGGGGATATTAATCTCCACTTTTTTGAACACGTCCAGGATCTCTTTTTCCTTCTCTGCCTTCTTCGTCTTCGCCAACCTGCAAGGAAAAGGGGGTAAATTAGATTTAACGGGTATTGATGGTGTAAGAGTTATCTCAGGACCTCCACGAATGTGTCCTTCTTCCTCTATCTTCTTCTCAATCTCGTCTTCACTTTTACTCTTCAAGTTCGTGACCTTTGGCCCCTCCACTTCCTTGCCATTTCTTAATGTCATGACACTTACATTTTTGGGGTTTGCTTCAGGCTGCGAAGGTAATTTCCCATAGACATGGGACTCCAGGCAATTAATGGTAGTTGCCATTTGACTCATTCGAGCCTCCATGTCTTTCATGCCCGCTCTGGTGTCCTGTTGAAACTGAATAGAGCTTGCGACCAAGGACCTAGTCTCTTGCTGGAGTTGAGCAGTGGTCGTGACTAGGGTTCTAGTCTCTTGCTGGAGCTGAGTGGTGGTTGTTGCCAAACTCTTGACAATTTCCTCCAAAAAACTTCCTAAATTGGAGGACGAGGGTTGGGACTTCTGTTTCCAAGGTTGCTGGAATCCTGGTGGACGACTGGAGAATGCATTTTATGGCCTATTACCATAGCTAAAATTGGGGTGATCTCTCCAACCCGGATTGTACGTGTTGGAGTAGGGATCGTACTGCCTACGAGACGCGGGCACGCCTCCAGCCATGTTCACTTGTTCAGCCCCATCCTCTTGCAATATAGGGCATGAGTCAGTAGGGTGGCCCATATTTGTGCAGATTCCACAGGCCTTTACTTGGGGCACATTCCCCACAGCTAATTGTCGAACAATGGATGTGAGTTCCGACAACTGTTGCTGAATAGATGTCGACTCCACCTCATTAACCCTGCGGGTAGGGTTACTCTCACGGAAGCCAAACTGTTGAGAGTTCTCTGCCATATCTTCAATAAGCTCCCACGCTTCCTTAGGTGTCTTGTTTGCCAGTGCTCCCCACTCGCAGCGTCAATGATACTCCTATCAGTTGATTGGAGTCCTTCATAGAAGTATTGGATTAACAGTTGTTCACTAATTTGATGCTGCAGGCATCTAGTGCACAACTTGTTAAATCTTTCCCAATATTCATACAAGGACTCCCCGGGATACTGTTTAATGTTGCAGATTTCCTTTCTCAAACTCGCAGCCTGGGATGCAGGGACGAATTTTTCCAAAAACTTCTTTTTCAACTGTGCCCATATAGTAATACTACCTGCTGGTAGGTAATACAGCCAATCTTTAGCTGCATCCTTGAGAGAGAACGGAAAGATTCTCAATCTAATTTGCTCTTCAGTGACCCCAGGAGGTTTCATACTAGAGCAAACCATCTCGAACTCCTTAACGTGCTTGTGGGGTTCTTCGCCAGAGAGACCATGGAAAGAAGGTAAGAGGTAAATCAACCCCGACTTCAGTTTGAAAACAGTATTCTCAGCCAAAGTGGGGAATGTGATGCATAAGGACTGGTGAGTCAGCTCCGGGACAGCCAGCTCCCTTAATATTTGGGTGTTGACCATGCTTACTTCGTCTTCTACTAACTCGGTTGCAATAAATAAGTGCCCTTCTTTTCGTCTCTTGGTCTCTTGCCTCTGCCTACGCGCTGCCTTCTCTACCTCAGGGTCGTATACCAATTCACCTGTGCGCGAAGAACGGGGCATAAACTAGCAAAAATATCAAGAAGAATAGAAAAATAAATACTGAATTTGAAAAGAAACAAATAATCCACACGCCAACTCCCCGACAACGGCGCCAAAAATTGACAGGTGTCGAACCTGTGCAATAATAATTACTAAAAAGTCCTAATTACCACCACAATTAATTATAAAAACAAATTCAAGTACTGGAGCAGGGACCCTAGGCGTGCAATGGGTTACTTGATTCACCTTGTTCCCGAAGAGTTTGCTTGATCCGATATAGCAGATTTGTCTATAAAAATATTGAATTTGCGTACAATGGCAAGTAGGGTCGATTCCACAGGAAGCGGGTAGGAAATTATTTCTTTCCAAATTAGCAGAACGAAATTGGGGGATTTTCAATGGGAGGCAAATAAAAATGAAATAAAACAAATAAAATTCAAAACTAACTCACAAAGCACAATTCACTAAAAATAGCAATTAATAAAAGTTCTACCCAAAAGATCAACTGCTCAGGTACGGTCCAATTGAATGATCATGGATGCAAAGATATTTCATCTATTCGTCAATAGATTGGTTATAGTTATCAATAAACTCTGACAACCAGTTCTTCTTTACTTTTTCGACAGTCAAGGTACGACCATTGACTGCTTCCCTAACCAGATAACAACCCTAGATATGACCGTAGGAATTTAATTATCCAATTGCATTAAAACTAGAAGAACCCAACCCTAACCAATAAACACGCTAAGAGGGTTTATTTAAGTTAGATCTTACGTTTTCCCAACATAAAGCCAATTATGATGGTCGCCACTAGGTATGAACTAAACGAACAATTACGGATTCAATTTAGTTAATATAACAGTAGGGTATTAAATTAAATCAAATACCGGGCCGTTGATATTCAATTAATAAAATACCCATGAATAATTAATTCAGGAAACGCACGAATAGCAATAAATTGGAAGAAATAATGAAGATTCGATTAGATCTCACAGATATTATGGACAGCGCCCTCGCGTCAACCTTTGGGTAGAGGAGAAAATTAGCCGCTCCTCATCGTGTCAATCCCGCGTGATTTAATTGAATTCATTCAATTAATTGCCGAAGAATTGGAAAGGGGAAACAACGAAGGAACAATTTTTCTTATTTTGCGTCTACGCTGGAGCCGCGAGCACAAGAAAAATCTCATGAAATATTATCCGTAGCAAGAGTAGAAGCAAAAACGTCTCAGTCGTACCAGGCCAAAAGCCAACAAGAAAAGTCTCCAATGTCTGACCGCTAGGAAAAGGGAGACGAAAAGCTAATCTAATTGCGGCCGAAGAAAACAAAAGCAAAGAAAAAGCGTATGACAAAAAAAGTAGAAAGAGAAAACTAAAGCTAAGGTTTTGATGATGTATTGAATCTCGCTTCCTTTCTTTTTTTTATAGCCGCCGCCCAAGAAAAGTAAAAGAGATGTCTGGAGCAAAGCTTTGTTTCAAGAGTTCTGATCCCATGCTTCGGGTTCACGTGGACCGGGTCCGTCTTTCTGTAGCGTCTACCTTTTCTGGCGTGGCCACGCCCTGAGATGAAAGGTCTTCTGGAAATTTACCTCGAGAGATCATTTTTAATGCCGACCGCTACAATTCACACAAATATCGAATATGAGTGAAATTCCAATTCTTTGCACCGTGAATAGCCAAAATTAGGACGAAATAACAGTGAAGAATGTGCTAAATAACTGCTCTATCAAAATTTGAGTGTTTTTTATTTAGAATCTTGGAAAAGTGTCTTCTAGGAACTTTGTACTTTGAAACTAGTTTCCAACGGTGCCAAGTTTTCCAATTTTGGACCTACAGAGTGTAAGATATGATTTTTCAAAGATTGCTCCTTAAAACTAAAAATTTTAAATTTGAAGAGAATTGAGTTTTTAGAACTCTTCACTACCATTCGATATTGAAAGACTGTTTTAGACTTGATTTCTCGAAGGAAAACAGTTTTTCCTTGCATCATTAAACCTCACTTTTGAGTCTTGATTTATGAGTAATTAAGTCTCTCTTTCATGATATTTTCTTAGATTGTACAAGTGTACAATCTCCCTTGTTAAGTAGGGATTTTTAAGCGATGGTGTGTGATAGTCAATTATTATTTGCTCAGGCACTCAAGGGGACATTCAAGAGGATATCATAGGGATGCCTAAACACTTGATTGAGCACTACTCCCTTATTTTGATTGGTGAGTGTCAAGTGCATGACTAGTTGAAAATTATGTGATTTGCTCATTATGAAATGGATGGCTTATAACTGATGAGTCGAGTGTGTACGTATTATCGCATTCGTTCTCATTTAAATGAATTGGAATTGAATTGCCTGAATTGAATTGAATTACCTGAACTGAATTGAACTGAATTATATGCTATGGTTGCATATGTCATTGGAATGAATCTTCTCGACCCATAACTGAACTGTATACATGTCGTTGGAGTGAATCTTCTTGACATACAGCTGAATTGGGGGACGCCCAAACTCATTGGCCGATCTTGGACTCGAGCGCGGCATGGGCTTGGTCAGGAACCTTGGTGAGTCATGAGATAAACTGTAAACTTGATCTATTGAGAGATCTTGCTTGGTCTACTCACGTAGTAGCGCCTTTATTGCTGTTTCGGGCCCGGTGCGGTGTATGGTGGACGGAACTGTGAAGTAAGTGGAGTTCTATGGACTTAAAATGCTGACTCGGTTGACGGAGTGTCATCGCGGGAAAGTATTTGATCGAGATCTGGCGAAGCACGTAGAACTTAGCTCCTGAGAGTTACAATATTCTTTGAATTGTTTCTGTTTATTTTTTTCTCACTCAAATTGTTGTTTACTTGAATACTACTATTTTACTTGCTAAATGGGATTGTTATTTGGTCTACGTGCTTGCATGTGTGTTCTTGGCCTCACGAGCAATCGCTCACCCCGTAGATTTGTTTTCCTTAACAGGAGCAGATTTGAAAGATTTTGGAAAAGCTTGCTAGGTTATACTTTTGATTGGAATTTGGGTTGTAAATGTTTAGTCGACTTTTAATGGTTGTATTTTGGACTTGATGTATCTTTTGAGAACATGATGTAAGATTTGGATATACAGTTAAGGAAGCGACTTTTCTTCATTTTAGACTTGTATATTTTAGTATGTATCGTTAAGTTTGAATTGAATTGTCTTGAGTCCTAGCAATAGTTGGGCAGGCGTCCCGCAGATACCCTTTGGTTCACCTTAGGAAGAAGTGGGGGTGTCACACTCCCGACTACCGTTTGTCTCTCCTTTGTTCATGCCAAGTGCACTATGTAAAAGCGGGAGATGCTATGGGTAGAATTGTTATTGGACAGGCCGTCTGGGTTCCCTTGGTGTTTAGCTGGAGATTTTAATGTGATTGTTAATGAGGAGGAGAAGCGTGGGGGTTGCCATTTCGCCTGAGTGAAGGGTTAGAATTTTTACAGTTCATGATGGAGGCCAGGGTATCTGACGCGGGTTTCTCTGTCTCAAATTACACTTGGTGCAATAATAGGCAAGGGCGGGCTCAAGTATGAAAGCGCCTCGATAGAGTGCTTCTAAACTTGGAGGCTTTGAAGATGGGCTCTAGCTTTCTGGTGCAGCACTTGGCGAGAGATCCATCAAACCATGCCCCGCTCTTGATGACGACCTCTACTCGGTTGGACAATAAATCGAAGCCCTTCCGATTCTTAAATGTTTGGACCACAAAAGCAGGGCTGCTGGATGTCATACGCGATAGCTGGTCGTGTCCAGTGAGCAGACAACCCTTATGTGTTTCGGAAGCCAAGCTTCGTACAATTAAGCAAGTACTGAAGGGTTGGTCTAAGGAGTCTTTTGGCAACATATTCCGGGCTGTTAAAGAAGCGGAACGGGCAATGTTGGAGGCGGAAGTAGCCCAGGAGCAGGACTCATCTGACCCTATTTTACATTATTTAAATGAAGCCGCAGCGGCTTAGGAGTACGTTGGCTATTGAGGAGGGTTTTTGGTGACAAAAGGCCAGGGCAGGTGGTTGAAGGATGGAGATAGAAATTCAAAGTACTTCCATGCGGTGGTGGCTAAGAGGAGGAGCAACGTGATCATCCACAGGATCCGTGATTCCAGTGGCAATTGGATAGAGGATGAGGAGCACATCAGTAGGGAGGCCATTTCCTTTTTCTAGAGGTTGTTTACGACTGAGCCGTGCGCCTCCTCTTTTGAGTTCTTGGACACTATTCCTAAGCTAGTTACGGTTGATGATAATACCCAGCTCATGGAGCCCCCCACCATGGCTGAAGTAAAGAAAGTGGTTTTTTCGATGGATCGAGAGAGTGCGTGGGCCCAGATGGGTTTACAGGCAAATTCTTTACTTTTGCTTGGGAGGTGGTTGTGGAGGATGTGTATAAGGCTGTCGTAAGTTTCTTCTGCGAGGCAAAGTTGCCACGCAGCATTACTGCCACCACTATTGTCTTGATTCCTAAGGTTCAGTGCCCCTAGGATTTCACACAATATCGTCCAATAAGCCTATGTAATTTTATTAATAAAGTGATTTCATGCATTCTTTCCGGATTGGGCACAGATTTTACCTAGGCTCATATCTGCCCAATAGAGTGGCTTTGTAAAGGGCGACAGATCTCAGACAACTTCTTGTTGGTGCAAAAACTCGTGTTGGATATCGGGAAGCCGAATCGCGGTGGAAATGTTGTGATCAAACTGACATGATGAAAGCTTATGACCGGGTGTCATGGTGCTTTCTTTTACATGTTTTACGGCGATTCGGGTTTTTTGAGACATGGATAGATGCCATTTGGCTACTGGTCTCCAACATATGGTTCTCGGTCCTATTAATGGGGTGCCACAAGGTTTTTTCCGATCCACACGTGGTTTGAGCAGGGTGACCCATTGTCTCCTGCCCTGTTTGTCATTGGTGCTGAGGCCCTCTCTAGGTACTTGAACGCCTTAATACATCAGTGCCAATTCCACCGTATAAGGTTTCGATTGGTTGCCCAATTGTCACACATATGGCTTTTGCAGATGA